TGTGTGTGTGTGTGTGTGTGTATATATATATATATATATATATAATGTAAAATATTTATTACATTAAGGTAAAGGTTCTCCCTGCACATATGTGCTAGTTATAAACACATACATACATACATACATACACATACACATATACACATACACACACACATACACACACACACACACACATATATATAATATTTTATGTATGTATAATGCACTTTTGGTTTGGAATTTGGTGACATTCAGATTTTTCATGTTATTAATTCTTATCTCATTTGGTTTTTCTAGGTGTTCTCTTGATCTTGGTGCTAACAGAAGAATTAGTATTTACTGTTCTGACTCCCAAACTTGTGTCATCTCAGAGCCTTCTGATGGACAATATTAGTATTTTAGCTATGGAGACAACTCCAGGACTTGGAGGCCATCACACAACCAAATCTTTGCCCACAACAATTCTTGCAAATGCTGATTCCAGTAGTATAGCAGAAACTTCTGTTACTACTGTTGATGAGAAGGAATTAAACAGCAGCGATTTTGTTCATAACACAGAATCTTATCATGTATACAACCAGAATGCTTTGTTGTCCAGGAAGTCACTTAACAAACGAAAAATGTTCCTGGGTGTCCAAGGCAATTTCACAGAATTTACAGAACCTTATCTAAAAACAGAATTGTATTCTTCTGCTACCACAGAAAATTGGCCCCGAGAATATCCATTTCAGACCCAGCCTACAGTTCACACCAGTCATCAAAATACTTTACAGGGAACCACAACAGACTCAATTGATTCTATTCATAACTTGGAAGGCCTTAATGAAACAGGGAAGGGAAGGTCATCAGAACTGATTACACAGGAGATTGATCTCATTACCCCAACAATTGGTCCATCAACTGTTCCTGAAACGGTGACAGTGCCTTTTAAAGCCACACGGTATGGCATAGAGGATATACTGGAGGGAAACAATTCATTGATAAATCCAAGCCAGAATACAGATCAGGTAGCCTTTTTTCCTGCTGGGACAACAGCAACAGAAGTAGACCTTGGACAATCTAGTCAAAATGATGTTGATGCCAATCTTCCCTCCTTTTATGCAACAGGGAGCTCTATTGAGGAACCAGCTACCACTCTGCATCCCTCTGTACATAATGCTAGCTTGCCAAGCAGTACACTGTCTATGGAATCCTTGACATGGCTTCCAAGTTCCACTTCAACAGCCACAAAGAATTTTCTAAACAGACTGGTACCTGCTGGTACCAGGAAGCCTGATGTCTCAGGAAATGTTTCTCATGTCACAGAAAGGAACAAGCCCCAATACAGAACAACTATTTGTCTCAGCAAAGTGGATATAGCATGGATCATCTTGGCCATCAGTGTACCTGTATCCTCATGCTGTAAGTTGAATGTTTCTCTATATATTTATGCCCTGTGGGATATAACATATAATAATGATAATGAAAAAAAGTTCAAAAAATCTAATTATAAAGTTTCAGTGATCCACATAATATGTCTCCCATATAATTAACAATCATCCTACATTATTTCAACATCCTTACAGTTGTACACCCAGGCAATGTGGAGAACACAGCAGAATTAGCATATGTTTTGGTCTCTCCTGTAAACACAGTATTTCTATTAGGGTGCATGGAATCCAGGAGCATCCTTTTTTTTCATCCTTGGCATATAATTTTGATCAGATGAGAAATCACAGCAAATAGTAATCTATTAAGGTAAAGGTTCCCCTCACACATATGTGCTAGTCGTTCCCGACTCAAGGAGGCGGTGCTCATCTCCATTTCAAACCCGAAGAGCCAGCACTGTCCAAAGAAGTTACCACGGTCATGTGGCCGGTATAACTAAATGCCAAAGGTGCACGGAACGCTGTTACCTTCCCACCAAAGATGGTTCCTATTTTTTCTACTTACATTTTTACATGCTTTCGAACTGCTAGGTTGGCAGAAGTTGGGACAAGTAACGGGAGCTCACTCTGTTACACAGCACTAGGGATTCGAACCGCCGAACTGCCAAACTTTCTGATGGACAAGCCCAGCACTTTAACCACTGAGCCACCGCATCCCTTAATCTATTATCCTTTCATAATTTTGCCATGGAAAGTTCCCGCATATCTGGAAATGAGCACCCACCTGCATAATGTCTATCATTCCGCTTTCTCATTGTCTCCATTATAACCCTTTTACTCCTTGAGAAAAGGAGAAAAGCTTTGGTTGGGAAACCTTATTTAATAATTGTGCAAAACAATTATTTATTTTTTGATATTACTTCACTGAAGCTAATTATAACCAATTGCCAGTTCATCAGAGAAGATTAAGAAATTGGCAGTGAAGTTATTTGTATCATTGATATTTCAATTTTCAGTTAGTATGTTCTGCAACTCTCTTTAAAAGTCTGCTGAGATTTCAATATTTTTGATGACACCTCTTTCATCAGAACAGCAACCAGACTTTGCATTCCATCTGTAAACATTGTAAACCACAAAAAAGAGAGACAAAGAGACAGAGAATGTAGTTCTGATATCTGTTCTGCAGATGCCAACCATTTATGCAACAACTTTTACAAGACTATTTAAGTTTATCAGTAATAGCAGCTAGAACAAATAAGCCAAAGATTCTCAAATTGTTTTGATTCATGCCATTTCCCCTCCTTCACCAAAATCACAGTTCTGTTTATTGAGTAGTAAAATATGCCACACTGTCCGTATTTGCTGCAACATTCTGGGATGCTGTGATAGTGTACTGTACAGTTTATAAAGTGTTGGAATAAGCAAAGGAACAGCCTGGCATTTGGAATACCTTTTCAAACAAAGGCCCGTAATTGGGAGAGGACATGTCAATGATAAAGCACCTAATTTATTACATTTTTTACATACAGAAGTTGTCAGGCTTCATATAGAAGAACTACAACATTTCTGGGTAGAGCTAGACACTTTATTATCTGAATCTCTGGGAACTTCTGAGCCATTAAGATTTGGCATAGCTAATACTGAGTTAGATGAACCAATTTACTTTATTATATGGCAGATTCTTTTATGGTGGCAAGTTGTATTAAACAGTTCCTCAGATAATTTAATACCAATTCTATCCTTCAATGTAAGTTATCCCATTAAAAATATATCCATATTATTACTTTAAGTTTTTAAAAACCACATCTTGGTTGTATGCAAATAAAATTTCTATGGAGATTCTTAGTAATCCAGGTCCTGATTGCCCCAAAAGTGGTTTTTCAAGAGGCAACTGTACTTTCTTGGGTTTTTTTTTTTATGATAATTCGTTTCTCATCCAAGAAGCTTCTTCAGCTCTGACTGGATAGTTCCATTCTCCATCATTCTCTCAAGAGCTGAAGAAGCTTCTTGATGAGAAGTGAAATGTCTTCAAAGAAAAATAAGGAAGTCCAGTTGCCTCTTGAAAAAAGCACCTTTGGGACAACTATGACCTGGATGACTGATAATCTCCATAGACATTTGAGAAGAGGAAATAATAAGTAAGTTATGGATACTGTCATTGCCAATTTCATTTTGGGAGAAGTTTGAAGAATGGCTGCAGGGTCATTCAATGATGCATTCTGAAATTTCCATAATAAAAGTCAGTAAATTATATGCTGGTTAAAATGGTTTCAAAAAACCCCAACTCAGATCCTCTGTAAAGTGGGTGAAAATTGAAACTAGAATTATTAGAACAGTACAAAATGTATATGCTTCATTTCAATGATTAGTTCTTTCAAATTAAATAAATGACCTTTTCCAGAAAACCACCCACATGCCTCTTTCAACTGGGGTCTGAATAGGTTTGAACCTAATCTCTTCTTTATTTATAAGAGGGGCTCAAGCTAATTATTTAAGAAAAACTAATTTAAAAAAAAGACAAATGCAACAGTAGCTAAATAATCATTATTGGAACAACCCAATAGTGAATTTATTGTCACTGTGAATCAAGCTCCTAAATGATTGTCATTAAACATTAGTTACCAATAGTAGCTTTTGATTAAATTTTAGAGGCTCCTCAAATATTTTCTATTAATGTGCACATAGAAAATTTACTAGAATAATATATGTGTGTTACTCTGGTGGGATTGAAATAATTTAACAACTGGTTCTCTGCCCTAATGACCATTTTAAGTATAAAAAATGATGTACTGAAAGGGTTAGTGTTAGGGTTAGGGCTTCAATGTTAGGGCTGCAAGGTGATTTGAATGTCAAGAGAACCAGGAGCGGAGGGAAGCAGAGACTGCCTCTTTTCTATCCCTGCCCTAGATCGGGGAATCTGGCAGGGACACGGGAGTGGGGGCTGGCCAGACCTCAACCATCTGCGTCCTGAGACATCCCACTCTGGGAGATGACTCAGGTTTCACTGATGGGGGAAGAAGGCTTTGGAAACCAAAGCCTTTCATTTACATTCATCATCAATATTGTAATCCACCCCTTTATTTTTCAAACAAATGATTTGTATTTACCATGATTAGCCACTTTGAATGCCAATGGGAAGGTGTGGTATGAATTTTGTACATAAGCCACTGAAATATAGATACTTGCACCCTCAAAGCTCACAATCCTTCCTCGCTTGGGGTGCACCACTGCTTTACTGGTGCGTTCAACTTTGCGGCTCAGCTAAACCGTTGTGGTGGGCTGCAGTTCTCACCACCTTCTGAAAGCCTGGGCGATGGAAACCTTAGGCCAGGCTCCTTCAACTGAAGCAATCTGGCTCACCCAAGGTCAGATTGGCTATCATAGGAGACTCGTCCCGCATATGCAGCAGAACTGGAGATGGGGAGTGGCTCCAAGATTAGATTAGAATATATTAGAATAATATTTGTTACTTTGAATGTACACTAATTTGCATACATTAAAATGAAGTTTTGTAGGCACTGAATCTAGTTTATTTACCATTCTCACAAGCGATATATAGCATTGTCACATGACCTCTGCTATCTCTCCTATGGTAATATAAATCTTCTGTTTTTTTTCCTATTTCAACAAAATGATTTATGATTGGGAGCTGGAACTTAGTTTTATGAGAGACTGAGGGAACTGGATATATTTATTTTTCTAACTATCAGGAGCTTAGTGCACAGAAGAAGCTCAAGAACCAATTATTAAAACAAGGTTGATCTTTGCTGAATGTGTCAAATTGCAGGCTGGGCAACTATCTGTCAGGGAATGCACTACACAAGAAGAAGACTTGGCCTAAACAGATTATTCCAATGGAGCCTATGATTTATATGTGTATCATTTTATCCTTTATTTTATTCAATTTAAATATAAATTATGATTTTATTTATATATTATATAAATTATGACTAAAAATTATAAACTATGAGAAGAAAAAAAAAGGGAATAAAATAAAAGTATTCTCTTCCACAAATGAACTGGAACAGCCGATTCCTGCATAACCTCCAAATCAGTGTTGGGTTCTTACTGGTTTAGACTGGTTTGGCTGAACCGGTAGTGGTTTGGTGGCCTGGGTCGCTGGAATTGGCAATGACCCAGGCCTGCCATGCCCCTGAACCAGTTCTATGCACGCCATCTTGTTTTTTGTTTCTACGCATGCACAGCCACAAGTGAACCAGCAGTAGTGACTGCTGGAATCCACCCTGCCCCAAATGGCCCTGTTTCTCCTGAAGGGAGGGGAAATGGCAAAGAACACTCTTCCCTCTGATCCTTTTCCAAGCTGATGGGAGGGCAAGAAATGCCAATCCCCCTTTTTGGAAAATGTCCCATTCAGAGAGAAGCCCCAGGGTGGTTCTGAGACCAATGGGCTCCACTCCGTAGGCGGGAGAAGGTGGACATCAGGCAGCTCTGGGGTGTGTGTGGAAGCTTCAATCAAGATCCCTGAGGACAGTGTGAGGGCCAGGAGGTTGGACCCCAGAGCAGCCAGAGACAGTCCTTAGGATACTCCGATTATGAAAAATAGATTTTCCCCTGAGGAATATTTGAGAAAGAACCTTTTCTGAATATGGCCTGTTTTAGCAGGAGCCCTTTGGTTTCTGAGCCACTCCCCTACTCTGGGGCTGCCCCCCTGCCTCTGGGGGATGCCCGGGCAGTGGGGATGCCCTTCCTCTCCCATCACCCAGGAGACCTTCTCTCCGCTGCTCCTGTGTGATTCATCCCTCCCTTCTTCTCCTTAGTCAGCCCCCACCTCCAGCTCCCCACATTTCAGGGACCTTTTTCCTCCCCCAAGTGAGGTGGAGGGACCCCAGAGTCCCTTTCAGAGAAAGCCCAGGCATCCCTTCAATCAGTGGTGGGTTCCAAAAAAATTTGGAATCTCTTCTGTAGGTGTGGCCTGCTTTCCAGGCCCACTGGTGGAACCTCTTCTAACAGGTTCAGTAGATTTGACGAACTGGTTCTGCCGAATAAGTGCGAACTGGTAGGAACCCACCTCTG